GATGTAACAATCAGAAAACTTGACAAATAGACAAAGCTCAATGTATTCAGGAAGCAAAATTGTATGTTGTGTTATGTTACCTCCTCCAAGGTGATGCTTGTGAGTTTTTATAGGTCTCGAGTGGCACAATCCTAGTAGGACTTTTATTCCTTCATGCAGAGTCCTCCTAGGATTCATACTCCTAAAGGATAATGCTTATCCTTTTACACCCCCCCACTGCTTAAACCAAGTGGGATGGTTTTTACCACGGCCGAACTACCATTTGACCGAAGTACCTACGGCTATGCTGAGCCACAGAGTAGGCCAAACTATTCCTTAGTTTGGTTCAGTCTCTCATTACACCTTATCTCGGTTCTCCCTTGTATGAACCATGGTGTGTTGGGACCGAGCTTCCGAGTAGCAGGGTCCTGACCGATCTATCCAGAACACGTTATGACCGGACTAGACCGTAGACCGGACTAACTCCAAGTTGTCCAGACCGAAGTAGCTTTACAATTCCTGAGCCGAAGTAATTTCATCTCTTTTGACCGGAGTAACTTTATTTCTCTTGGGCCGGAGTAACTTCTCGGCCCTTTTTACCCAGTCCGTCATACTTTGGGCCATAAAGTCCATCTCATAGCTCGGCCCAATTTTCACCAAAAATTACCCTCTCAATATATATATATATTAGAAACACCATATATCTCAAAATGCAACATAAAACAAAATAAACAAACAAATTTAAACATATAAACGTAATACCAATAGATAAAATTAGACCTAAGAATAAATTCTATATTTGTATTTGCTTTTTAGTTTGAGGATTTTCTTTCAAGAGTAGAGATCAAATTGGTTAAAATGAGAGTGCCTTAGTTGTTGTAACCAGTTTCAAGGAACATAAATTACAAGCCAAAATAGAACCTGTAACCAATAATATATAAACAAAAGAACTTTGAGGATTATATAATTATATCCATATCTATATTCAAACACTTATTTATCAGACTTTCAAATAAATAGGACCAGTGCCTATAGAAAATAATACTGCTACATGATATAATAATCGGAATAAAAATGTTCAACTTGTCTCCTGTCATATAAACCATAATCTGCTGACAACAGAAAATGCTAGGGAGTTTTTGTCCGCTGCAAAAGGAGAGACACTTGAAGGTAGTTTTTCAAATGCTTAATTTTAGGCGCTTAATTTGTTGCCTTGTGGTTCTGAAATTGAAGCTTGATTTGCAGATAGTATAAGAACAATTGAAGGGTACTCGAATATAACTGTGATGAGGCACTTTGAAAGTGGTACTGCTCGAAGAGCAGCAGCTACTGCCAGTATTCCTGTTATTAATGCATGGGATGGTCCAGGGCAGCATCCAACTCAAGTAAGCATGATCTAAGCCCTTAAGACTATCTTTAGTTAGATTCTTCTACATATTGAAGTTGAATACTGACATGATATTAGAATCTGTATGCTGTAGTGATGTAGGAGTTTTGGGCTTAAAAAATTTGATGTTTGTTCTGCGTGCGTATCTGTATGCTCACTATTTGTTTGTACAAATGTAACATCCAAACCTTGAGTTAACTTTCAATTGATCTAAGCACTGTTCATCATTTGTGTTACGTCCTCAATCATCCATAACAAATTTTCTTGAATCATCTGTCACAAATCATGGTTGATCATGATTTATCCTCTTACTGTTTGTTAAGGGATGCATATAGTACATCAAGTTCTTTTCTGTTTCGAGGTGTACCAATTCTCTCTTTTGCGGACTGACTTGATTGTTTAACATATTTTTTAAGAACAGCATTGTCATATAAGTCAAAAACTAGACTTAATTTTTAAGCTTAATAATGTATCAATCAATTATCTAATATAACACTCTCTCTTATATCTTTTCAATTATCAACTAATCATATTACTTACACATTATTGGGTCTAGAAAATGGATCTAGAAAATGAACTTGTATATCATTTTTCTTTTAAGAAAATATGCAATCATTTGAAAAGAGTTCATAAATGAATTTAGAGCACTCTTTTATAAAATTCAAAATAAATTATCTTATGACTTTTCAATAGAGCCTTGTGGAATTTTTTTAAAAAAGGGGCCTTCTATCAATCCAAGCCTAAAGCAGAAGTTTCAGGGCTTGGGCTTTAAGCCGGCCCTGGGTCAAGGCAAAGTGAATGGGTGGTTGTGATTTGCTTATTTGATGGCTTTTTTTGGGTTTATTTTCACCATTAGTGAATTTTTATTAAAAAAAAAATTAAAAAATTCTAGTTTCTAGATCCAAGTTGATGAGACGAATCAAAATTTTCAAATTTTAAAAAAAAATTAAAAAAAGATAAAAATAAACAAAAAATAAGTTATTATTTTTTTTATACTTATTTTGACTTTTTTTTTAAAAAAAAATTTAGGTTAGATAAAAAAAAAAAAGATGTGACTTTTTTAGTTATTTGAATGATTTTTTTAGTCTGTAATAGGTGATGTGGTGTTACTAATCCCACCATTTTGGAAATTAACCACACACATAATAATAATAATAACACTACAGGAAATTCGTTCTTTAGCGGCGTTTTTAAAACGCCGCGAAAAGCCTGAAAAACGCCGTAATATCTTATAGTGACGTGTAAAACTTTCGCCGCTGATAGGGCCGCCGCAATAGCTACCCAACGTTTAAAAAACGTCGCTAAAAATATTAGACGGCGTTTTAAAAAACGCCGTAAAATCTTTGACCACCGTCTCATCCTCCGTCCCAAATTAACGTGTGACGTCACAATGACGTCATTTAGTGGCGTTTTTGAAAAAACGCCACTATTTTTTTTTATTTTTTTAATTTGTGCTACTCCCTACAATGACGTCATTTTGTGGCGTTTTTTTAAAAAACGCCACTTTTTTCATTTGATGGCATTTTTTCAAAAAACGCCACTTTTTTCTTCTTTTTTTTTTGTTTTTTTGGGTGAGGGGGTTCCTGCTACTGATGCAAGAATATGAAATAAAATACCATTTTGAATGGTAAAATAAATCCATTCAAAATATATATAAAAAAGAGTAAATAAAACGTGATGGTCATTATGATTCAATCATTGATCATAAATTTTGTTGAAAATTGATATTACAGAGTTATGTGATTACTAAGACCAAGCAATCTGTGGGTATTGTTATTATTCCCTCTTTTTCTTCTGTTTGGTTCTTCATTTAAGAAAAATAAATAAACAAAAATAGAAGTCACAAAGTGAAAATAAAACCACCAATTTCCAATCAAAACATAGCTGTCACTTTTGGTACTTCAAAGAACATCAAAACATCTTGCTCTTCTCAAGCCATTCTTTAGCAGGAGCCTCGTTCATTGAACCTACTTTAGCAGCAGTCTCTCCCACTGACAATAAGAACTCTACAAAAAAATATTTGAAGAGACCCAACTTACTGAGAATACTAAGAGATAGTTCTGTCACCATATCTTCAACCAGCAGGCAAAATTCCCCAAAACCTGTTCAAAAGTTCAATGATGCAAACATAGAAGATGTTCCGGCTTTTTCTCTGTTCTACACTCTGCATCTTCTCACCAAAGAGCTCCTCAAAAGATCAAACCACCCTCATTAACACATCATTATTCATTCTTCGTCACTGTCACCTCCGTTTTCAGCCACATTCACCCTCTCCATAGCATTGATATCTGGTTCATCTCCTAAATAGCAAATAGATGTATCTGAGGATGATCCAACAAATCCCATTTCATGTGGTGTCAGACCATGGGATGATGGGTGAGGAATTGATTGTAAGAAGTTGAAGTAAGCATATTTTACATCGAACTGCATATCATACCCTGCAAGATAACATGTGCGTTAGATTCTTATACTCCTTTTTTTAAGTCAAAGCAAGAAAAAGGAAGAAGCGTCAAATTCGTAATTACAATAGTTCACTGCGATGGTGCATGTCCTCTGCACCAACAACCATGAAAAAAAGGGAGCAACATGTCACAGTTGTCTAAATCCACCAAGCAAATGGTTGATATAACCGCAAAAAGTGGGAAAAGCCAATCACTTGTAACATCCTTCAATCTCCTGCACATATCTATGGAATGAATTGTACTATTTATGCCCATGTAATTCATTATAAGTTATCTTAATAATCTAAATCGTTTTTTTTTTAGTCTACGATAGTATAATCAACGAACAAAATTTTGATACAGAGTTCCGATACAAAATGGGATCACGACAGTTAAATGGAAACAAAGATAATAACTAAGATTAAAGGCACACTACTTTTAGAATAGTAGTTTCTGACTGACAAAGATAATGTTTGTCTTAATATCATAAATGAGGATTTCAAATTCAACACATTAAGTGCCGTGTTTGGGCAACAATGCTAGCCATATGAAGGCAAGTAGAGCTAGTTCAATCATCATCCAAACATGCATTTTTTATTGGATTTTAGAGAAATTAGAGAATGGATAAACTAAGGAGTACACTTGTTGGATGAGGCACTCATCCATATGTGATGCCCAAGTTCAAATCTAACTATTAGAATTGACTCAACTATGAGGCAACTTAGTAGTTTGCTTATTGACTCAACTATGTCGGGCTTGGGGTCTCAATATATCTTTGACTTGCAACTCTTATTCTATCACTGCAGGAATTTTTAGAATTAGCGACGTTTAAAAAACGCCACTATAAGCCTTAAAAACGCCGTTAAAGGATAAAGTGACGTTTATAACTTGTGTCGAGGATACGGCCGCCGTCTTAGGTTATTGACGTTTATTAAACGTCACTAATAACTTTAGCCGGTGCTTTTTAAAACGCCGCAAATTCTTAAACATCCGTTAACATAAACCATTACAGTTAAAAGCTGACGTCATATGATGACATTTAATGACGTTTTTTAAAAACGCCATCTTTTCCGTTACAGTTAAACACTTACATCATATCGCGACATTTAGCAACGTTTTTTTCAAAAACGCCATCTTTTCTCCTTATTTTAAAAAAAATATAAAATGAACAAATATAAATAAATTTCATTTTCCCTGACTAAATCTGCAAAATAATACACTTCTCCCAAACAAAAAAGATTCAATTTTCAAATTGCACTATTAGCTAAACAAGGTCAAATCTAAAAGTCCAAGATTCTATACAGAAGCACATAAACTAAAAATAAACCAAACAAGTTTAATTCCTCTTCTAGATCGCTAAAATTTTACATTTGACAAACAATTAAAGAAAAATTGTAACATTTCGTACCTATTTATATTTAACCACAAACCATAACCCAAAAAAATGTTAAAAAACCATCAAAATATTGAATAACTCATTCATAGGCCAATGCTTATTTCAGGGAACAAGCTGGCCAATGCTCCTACAAAAAAACACTGGAATCAGTCAAAAAAATAAAGAAGCTAACCCAAAATAAAATAAAAAGTTAACAAATTATAATCATTGCCAATAATAAAGTTAACAAAAAGTTAGCACATCAATCACAAGTTAGGTTCAAAACTCTCACCTCCACTTGCACGCACCCACATTCAAACTTCATGTTCATTACATAAATATATACTTATAAGAGAGATTACAGATAGTTCGAGTACGGAGAGCACCACCTGATGAAATAATACTAATAAATAGATAACCAACATTCTCTTTCTCTGGACTGTCCAACATCTGATTTCTAAAAGCAACAAGAAGCGTATAAGATAACACATCCAAAAACAAAAGCAAAATGGCTAATTAATAAGTTAATACTGCAACTACGCAGGATGTTAGACAATTGATAACTAGAGTTGAGAAAAACAAACTTCAGTCATAGAGTGCAGAAGAAAAAGCTTGAACTTACCCTAAAACAAGAGTTGTCATGCTATCAATGACAAGCAACTTCACTTGGTGCTGGAGGAGCGAAACCTTGGTTTGCTGCAAGTTGGTGAAAAAGAAAACAACATATAATATTCAAAATTAATTGCAATAGTCTCTCAGTTGATAAGTCTAGAAAGAGTAAGAACAATGGGCTGCTGGGGTTGGTTGACTTTAGATTGAGCTTGAACTTGAGCAGGGCTTAATCTGAGAAAACAATTTCCTGTTCAAGTTTCATTTGCTAAGGTTTGGCCAAACTCAATCATGTTCATGAGCCTAATCAAGCTTGTCAAGTTTGTTCATTTACCTATTCATTCTAATTTCCATATCGAAAGATATTCAACTTCAATTGCAATTACAAGATACTCCAAGAGCTTATCCATATTTTTGTCATATCTAAAACGCAAGGTACTTTTTCCTTTTTGTCACAGTTACCAAAGCCATATAAGTGTAGCGCCAACTTTTCATGAGGCCTCAAGTAAATCCCAATTTCAATAGAGTTAGTTTGTGGAGCAATCTTGCCCAAAACCTAAGCTTGAGCTTGGTTGTGAATGGGCTTCTTAACAAGCCCAGTATGAGATGCTTATGTCAACATTACTTTCTTTATAAAACCCTGTCTGAACTTAAATTCAAGAGGAAAGTTTGATAAAGTCTCTAGGAGGTCATACCAGATAGTTCAAATATTCATATGTTAACCATCTAACAAACTGGATTATCTAGACAACCCTCAAATCGAACCATACCACCCTTAAGAGAGTCTTGTCATAGACTCATAATCTTTGTGGTTCATGAGTGAAACATCTCAGCTGGCTCTAACAAAATGTCTCATTTATATCTTACTACCCCAAGTTCTCAAAATGTCTCATTTATATCTTATTATATTCACTCTAGGTTAAGTACAAGAAATCTGACTCTAGTTCACACCTCTCAGTAAGTTCTCAAAATGATACAAAATGATTCACATAATAAAACAATGAGATTGTAATGATATCAAGGTACTTCCAAGACATGCTGTGAATATGACAATATGAGATGCCCGAATAAAAATTTAACTGATCGAATACATCATATAGAATATATAGAGCATTGCCACCCAATAAATGATATTTCGAACTACACCATGAAGATGTAGATACGCTCACCTGCCAAGGAGCTGCAAAAAATATACTGTAATCTGGCCAAAATACAAGGAGTCATAAAAATTTTTAGACAAATTTGAGGAGGTGGTTAAATGGGTATCTGCTTCCAGGTAAAAAAATTAATTTTAAGACTACATATAAACTCAGCCATCTCTTTATACAACATTAACAGTCTTAAAAGAGGCTCTCAATCAATCGGCACTTCAAATTGAATCTAATGATTCGATGCACATAGTTAAACACATATGCTAATTAATCATGCTTCACACATTAGTTTCAAGATTGACAAAACAAAGCACAAGGAACAACATACCAGACGATTTGGTGAGACGATCCTGGATAATAAGTGAAGGAAACAGAAAATTAAGTCAGAAGAAGAAGGAAAACCAGAAGCCAAACTCATAAAAGTGAACTATCGAAAAAAAATCAAACAAACCTCAAAGACCAAAGGCGTCAATCTCATGAAGGAACTGCTCTGAGAATGAACAATTGCCATTGAGCCTAGTTGAATATAGCTATAAAAGTATCATTTAGAATATAGCTATAAAAGTATCATTCAGTAAATCACATTCGAAAGATAAATAGTCATTGTCATAATCCATTTGGGAAAAAAGTATCATTTAGAATATAGCTATAAAAATAAAAATTCAGTGCACCATAAGCTGCTATGATAGATATCATGATAGAAAAGTTAATGCACTTTTTAATATTTCATTTCTCACCACACATTGCATGCATAAGTAATCATGCAATATAGTTCTAAAATAAGGGTTCAATGCGTGATAACCTATGAGAAGGAATTCAATAATAGTTTAAAACTAGCGAATGTACATCTCACTAATTGATTGTAGATAATATTTGGTGAACAGAAATGTTACATGGAAAACTAAGTGACGAGCATAGTAGAGAACTCACTACAAGCACTATGCTGCATCATATATGCCCATGGTTTCGGTTCTTGTGTCATCAATTTTCAAGATAACATCCCTAGACAAAATGCTAGCCTTATTTGTAGGACCGCTTGGAGCAGCTGAAATTACCACCAGTCCTACACGTAATCCATCACCTTCTGTAGGGTAGCCAATTGACAGCCCTACACCTGTAACAGCACCTTATGTCCCGAACATCCTTCAAAGGACATATTAAAAGATTTTAGAGAGAATATCAAAAGCCACAAAATTCGCTGACCCAAAATAGTTAAGAAAAGGCTTCCTCGAGTCAAAGAACAAGATACATTGAATTAAATGGGTGAGAAGAAACTGCCTTGTACCTTGTTACAAGTGCTAAGAACAGCAGCTTCCTCTATATGATTCAGAGCGCAAAGCTCACTAATCGCTTGAGGCCATTGTGCTTCGGGAATGGAAAGCTTTTCACGTATCTCAACTAGTGCTGTGTGAACATTGAGTCCTATGGCCACGACACTGTTTCTGTCTTTTGTATATCTTGAGAGAAAAACAAAGTATAAATATTTGAACAATTGTGCCTTTAATTAATATTCCTTGTGACAAGTTAAAAATGAGGCTTGGTAATATAGCAGTTGCTTTACAATAAAGTTGCATGTGATATGTTCTGTCTCCAAAAATGATGAGATGCACTTTATATCATAGTTGTCAATTTGAAGCATTGTGTTTAGATATACTTTAACTTTCTCTTTGTAAAATGCATATATGTAAGAAGAATATTGTGCACACATCATATGCTAATATCTAATAAATATGTTTTAATATTCTTTCTTGATTAAAGGTAGTATAGCTATGCATCTGTATAATTGGTTAACTTGTTTGTTGTTTGTTTCTTTCTTCCCATTTCATGTAATGTCTTCTAGATTAAAGTGACATCTAGATTTATCTTGAATTGGTGCAGAATTTTTTTATTATAGCATTGAAGAAAGGCTTCTTATAATTGTACACACAAGAAATTTCTCAGTGTTTTGTACGTCAAGCTGTTCATGTAGCCTTGTCTGCACTTCAATTTGCATCCATATTGCTTCGCTAATATGTAAGCTTCTAAATAAAAGGTTTAATAATTAGCGTATCAGTTCAAGTAATTTTTAGAAAATAAAGAAATGGATAAAGGAGCAGAAAGAACATGAAATGGGTTTTGAGATCTTACTTATTTGTTTTGGGTTTCAATGCTTGAATTACTCATGAGTTCCATTTGCCTCAGACATCCTTTCTCTTGCCACTACAACCATTCCTAAATTCTGTAAGCTATTCCATTGCCAGTAGTTGGCGTAGCTCAAAATAATTTATACTCCATAATTGTTGAACTTCTTACCAATTTTGTTTGTTCCAATATTAGAGTGCCCATGGAGATTCTTATTGAGCCTGTATTTCTGCCAAACCAAAATTGGAGGAGTTATTCTTAATCTATGTGCTTATATACAAGTATATGAATATGAAAATCCCCTGAAAATAAAAATAAAAATCTGAGACAAAGAATATCTCAACTAATAAGTTTCAAAACTAATTGAAATATCTGTAACAAAGAAGAGATATTTCAATTAGTTGAGCATTAGACATTTTTCCTTTGGTTTCTTCTTAAACTTATTATGTTGTATGCACTCACTGTCTGCTCCTCCAAGCTGATTTACTACTTCTATGAACTGCTCATGGAGGTCTTGTGTCCATTTCAGTCTAGGCTTTGTATTGGTCGAAGGTACAAGTCCAGGATCTCCTGCACCATTCCCCCATTGCAGGAACAAATGCCTTTCTGGAAGAATGGACCCTCTTGAGGAGGGGTGGATGTTCTTTCCTTGATGATGGTGATGATGATACATCTGCCTTCAAAATGATGAATTTATGATTAGTTTCATGCAAAGAGCACAAACAGTTACTATGATCTTATTCAAAAACAATTGTGTTTTTATACTTTATGTCGGAGTTATACATGTCAAAGAACTATAAATGGAGTAATACCTTTCTGATAGCACAAGGGAAAATGAAAATACAGGCTACTGTCTTTTCTAATTCACTCAGATTGAGCAAGGCCTATAACAATTATTACAAGGTTGACACAATGAATAAACTTGTCCATCTGCCTAAACCATGAATTTGCATACTAATAAGCTTATGTATATTATGATTATGATTATGATGCACAAAGGTTGGTCCATGAATCTAAAGCCTCCAATGAGACGTAAACTAGGTTTACTTATTTGTTTTATTATGGCACACAAAAAATGTCAGAATAGCCAATTTTCCTTCAACACTGGTACAAAACATGAAAGTATTCAAGCAAAAGCCAGTAGAGGACCAGGAAGATGGGCGGGCGACACAAAATCAATGCCCTTTATATCATATCTTAAAATTTTAATGGACCAGCTAAGAAGCAGTTTCAATGCCCTGATTTGTTTTCCAATGACTCCATATATACACCTAAATAATAATATTTCCATTATCTGCGCATATCATGCACTACTTTTCTACATTTTAACTTGCAGTAGAAGAGCAAAAAGGCTGGCATCTATGAGGACTTAATGCTTACATTTACTACAGTAGTGGGTTATTAGAGGAGATCCGCAGTTGTAACAAAAAGAATGTTTGCATCTGTGATCATCTACAAAAATAAAATATACATATATAAGTACGCAGATGATTGGGTGTAAAAAAGAGATAAAAAATTAAATGAATCGATATAATCAATTGGAAATGATTCGGATTGAGCTTCAATCTTCATCAACTGAAGAGACACGCTTGCTAAAAATGATCAATCAAACACTACAAATGATTTTTATGTTCTCAACTTGAAGACCAAGGTCATATGACATATGAAGTAGAAATGCAGAAAAAAAAATGAAAGGAAGTTTGACAGAGTTGAGAACAACTACATCAAGAACAGTACTGTTTATACACCAAACTTCTACCATAAAACCGCAGCAACACAAAAACTATGATGCTTGGACCATGAAGCAAGCACAGCAAGAGCGACAGCGAGACTAAGACAGAGAGAATGAGAGCGAGAGTGAGAGACAACTGCAAATCTGGAGAATCAACCTTCGAATCTTCAAGAATCAACCTTCAAATCTTCGACAAACTTCATAGATCTGATGAACAGATGAGTACAGAGAGTGAGAATGAGACTGAGAGTGAGAGAGAATTTGAGCAAGAGCGAAAGTGAGACTGAGACTGAGACTGAGAAAGACATCGAGCGAAGGTGAGAGTGAGAGAGAGTGAATTCGAGCAAGAGTGAGAGAGAGGGAAAGAGTGAGATAGGATATGTAACAGAATATGTAACGGCGTCAGATGTGCACCCACAACAACACTGTTTTGAAATTTAATTAACACAACACTGTAGTTTTTAATTTTTAATTGATCAATGATGGCGTTTTAATAAAAATGCCATAAAAAAACGTTGCCGTAGCTTCCTTTTGTTGTAGTGTAATAATAAAAACTCCCTTCCGTTGTTGCCAAATAAAACATGGTATAATGGGACATTAAAAAATTTGGGGTCATGCAGGTCTCATAATATTTACCAATCTTCCTCTCCCTTCAAATCCCCTCAAGTTATAAAAAGGATTGATGTTATTTATAATATATCTAGTACTCATCATCATTATTATTTTTTTAATAAAATAGGCAGGATTATTATTGTATGAATCCATGTTAAAAATAAAAAATGGTTCAAATTTTATTTGGTGACCAAATATTTGTTTATGAATGTGACTTCTTGACAAGATAAATTAACATAATGTTAATTGGATTGACATACAGAACCCATATGCTATCGGGAGATCCATGCGGGTCAAGTAGTTGATCAGCAATTTCAGCTGCAGCTAATATGGTGGCACTATAGTTGGGGACATTCTATTTGCACCTAAATAATGATTCAATATGCTCAATTAAAATTTAGAAATTTTAATTCTTATTATACCATAATGTAGATTTACTAATAAGGACAATACACATTAAACCCTAAAATATATATATATATATATATTTTTTTTCTTTCATGGTACACCCTATATTCAAGCCTCTTCATCCTCTTTCCCAAATTTTAATTATTTCACTTCATCTTCTTCCTCTTACCAAAACTCTAATTTATCCCATCAAAACTCACCATTATCATCCACAAAAAATAACCCTAGAACAATCTTATCAGTCATCCTCTAATCTTTATGATGAGATTTTCAAAAAAGAATGAAACATGTTGATCTCTCAATGGAAAACCCACTTCACAAAACAACAATATTTTAGAAACGATAAAGCCATAGAAAGCATTAGAATCATCATAAGGGAAAAAACCAGGAAAACCACTAAAGAGAAAAAAAAAAGTACCCAAACTGTGGAGAGAGAGCATGGTCTTTGATAAAAAATAAACCTTACTCAACAAAGTTCAAGAGACCCAAATGAAATCCATATATGATATATACGATATATACGATATATACATTATGTACATATATGGAGAGGGGAGGGGGGGAGAGAGAGAGAGAGAGACCCATAGCTGAGAAGAGATGGAGAAATTTTTTTGAATTGATTTGTTGATTATTTCTGTGTACCATATATTATGATTTTATGTGGAAGGGTGATTTGTGAAAAAAATAAAGTCTATTGAGAGTAAATTATAATTCTAAATAATTTAATAAGGAGTACAAAGAAATTGAACGTACTAAATAATTTTTTGGGTGTAAATAGAATCACCGGTATAATTGGGCTCTGAGACTGATGGATTCATCCTATGTTCTTCTAGTTATAACTCTATTGTTGGAATAAAAACTACTGTTGGGCTCACTAGTCGGGCTGGGCTTAATCCTATTTCCCCAAGATAGGACACTGTAGGGTAAGACATCTTCAAATTTCTTTAATTCTTGAATGAATTTATAAATTAAATACAAACAAAAAAAAAACAATGAACAATATTTTATAAAGTTGATTGGTGCAGTCAATTTTTTAAAAATCTTACTCGTCTATACAAATTTTGTACTGAGCATGATCAAATTATGATTGAGAAGTTCATTCTGAGTTCAATGTGAATGTGTTTATGAGGCATTGATTTGTGGTGTTTTGTCGAAACAGGCCCATCGCCAAAACTGTTTCGGAGGCAGTTTATGTATTGGATATTATTGTTTACTTCAACCATAGACTTTGAAGCAACAACATTGGCTGCAAATTTTATTCTAGGGGGGAGGGGGGTTACAAGCAATTTCTCAAGGCAGATGAACTCAAGGATAAGAGGTTGGGGATTGTGAAAAACACCTTCTTCAATTTCTTCAATTCACTAAATGATTCAGTGTGATGACCAGGTATGTAACCCGTCTTACTTTTCTTTTGTGCATGTTGGGGTTCATCGTGTTAGAGTGTCGGGGTCTAACTTTAGGTCTTATCAACTGTTGGGCTCATCGCTTTGGAAATCTCTTTCTCAAAATCTTCGTCCCTATTTGTTTCAATTCTGAGTTTTGCTTGTTTTGGGAGGCTTGAAGTTGAATCAGGGGTTTTTCATTTGAGCTGGAAATTTTCTAAGCTGAGGGCAGAGCGGCACATGTGGGGGCCTTGGTTGTACGTGCGGAAAAGGAGCCGCACGTATGGGAAACTAGGAGCTTGCCAAGGTGCACACTGCATTATATGCACATATGGTAGGAGGTGCGGGGCATGGGCCGCACGTGCGGGGGGTAAGAGCCGCATGTGGGGGAATCTGCAGACTCCAAAAAATTTGCTTTTCTTCTTTTCTTGGGCTGAGTGTATATCATTTTATACATCTCTTTCTCTCTCTTTAAAAACCCTTTTCTCCTCATTCTCTCTACATTTCCTACATCAAACCTCACTAGATCTTTGATTTCTCCAAATCCATAAACATTTTGATCCCAGTTCCTTGATTAAAGTTGGATAACTTCTCGAGGGCTACGTTTTGGGCAGTGGAGATCAAGTGTCAACACCATAGAAATTTGAGGGTTTCATCTCATTTCTTCCCCAAAAATTGAGGTAAGGACTTTCTTAGAGTTATATATATATTTTTGCAAGATTTTGTTGAATTTTCAAAATTTCCCTTGTTGATATTGAAACTTGATGGTTGGCTCAACAATGTGGGTAGTTTGGGAGGGGATTTGCTCCTCATTCCTTTTGAAATAAATTCTTGAGGGTTTTGAATTACATTGATGGAGGAAAAATGTTTGTGAAGAAATTCTTTCAAATGATTTGGGTGTGTAAAGTTGTGGAGAGAAAAACCTAGAAATTTTGGGGTTTTTAAAAGGATGTTGTGAATACACGGTTGACATTGTTAATATATTATTTTGTGTGTCAAAATGAGTAAAGTATGGGAAAATTTCTTATTTATATATATAAATGATGAGTTTCATGAAAAATGAGAATTGTTGATATTGGAAGTTGTTGTTCAAATGTTGCCATAGTCTTGAAATGATTAAGTGTTGGGATTGCATGAAATATGGAAATGTGGTTATTTATTGATGGATTTAAATGAAAATGTGGTTATCTTGTGAGATAGTATGGAAAAGAGAAAATGAAAACTTTGATTATTTTGGAATTGTTGTTTGAGATAATCGAAAGTAGAAAAATGTTATGTGGTATTGATAATTATTGCATTGCATATCCATTCAATTGGTTATTACACATTTTGAATTGAGTTTGGAAACTTTTGCATTGAGAAACGAAAGTTTGTGAATAAATTTATCTTGGAATTGCTTTGGGGTAAATACGTTGGTAAGTCCGGATAGGAAGTGTAGATAAAATTGATTAAATTGGCCTAAGTGTCCAGGGTGAAAGACCAAAAACACGCGCGGAGGAGGTACTACTTCCCTTCCAGTTAGCAACCGGTAAAGTGGGGTTTTGGTAATGCTAGTTATGCCTACTTGCAGACACTAACATATGGATTACCTGGGTCATATTTACCGCCCCTTGAACTACAATTGTTAATTCTTGAATTGCTGAGATTTTAAGTTATCATTGAGCATGATGGTTTTCAAAAGACATAAATGTGATTTTCCTTAAAAGTATAGCATGGCATATGCATTTCATTTGATAAAGCTTGTATTAAATGTATATATTCTGTTAAGAACTTCCTACTGAGCTTTATGCTCACCCGTATGGGATTTTGATGCAGGAAAAGATGTGGTAAACCTGCCAAACTTGGGCGTGAATGTATGTATAGAAGCACAAGGCTCTATTTTGTTATGACTGTATTTTTGTAAGCCAAGGGCTACGCATGTATGGGTTTGAGAGACCATCTTTTGTGTAACTGGGCTTAAACCTTGGAACTTGTAAGCCCTTGAGGGCATTTATTTGTTTATTTTTGACTGAATGTTCTACATGTTATAGATTCATGTGCTAGAATTTATTGAATGTATACCTGCATGTGAAACTATTTTGTTCGAAGCTCATGACCTTTTAATGCAAGCATTGGGAATTTATTTCGGTTTACTATAAGGAGTAATGGATATTATGTTATTATTATTATGTATTTTCTTGAGGCGTTACAACTTGGTATCAGAGCTACCGGGTTTGAATACTTGAGGCTCGTGGGAAGTGGTTATTTTACCACTATGGGTTCATTTCGTATGATTAGCAGAT